TTATTAAATTGTATTATCATTGCTTCATTTTGAAATCTTATTGTTATTCCATACACTTTTTTGTCAGTAGTAAAAGAAAATAAGACCTTTTTTGTTTAAATTAAATTGAGGGTACAAGGTACTGTGTAAATTTGCTTTACTGAAAATACTTGGCATACAATATATGGAACAAATTTGCTAGAGCCTTGCTTAGAAATTAAAACTTTTTCAGAAATAATTTTAAGTAGCTTATCAATACATACTCCCATCTCTGGATAATTGAAGTTTGAATCAGAACTTCAACTCTCTAAAGTGTCACCAAAAATATAAAAGAAATATTAGATCACATTTAGTTTTAGCATCTAAGGGATTTTACAATATCCTAATGTTTTGAGTATTTGTATTGTAAGTGTGGTATATATAAAAATGTCCAATTACCCAGTCTAATGCTATTTATCTTCAGTTTCTTCATCAGTAAAATGGAAGAATAATAGTAAATAACTCATTAAAATAATGAAGGCAAACACATTAACAGACCAACTAATCCTCCTTACAAGGTCTTGACACTGTTCATGTTACTTATTTAACCTGGAGTAATTGTAAAAACAAAACTCTGTTCAGACACTAAAATGGAATAAAAATGCTAATCACATGGTACTATCTGTTAGAAGTAAAATGTGTTTGGCATGTAGCAAGCACTATTATATTTGTAAAACTACTGCTTCTAGTATAACTTATATTCACTCTAAACAGAAGTGTAGTGTATCTATGTCATTTTTGTTTTAAGATTTTTGCCATAGGGCATGTGTGTTTGCCAGAGAGACAGTAAGAGACAGACACATGTACTTGCACCAGAATGTTTCAGGCCACCAGATCTGGAACTCAAACTGCAGTCAGTCATGTGAGAGTCCAGCACCTTAGCCACTATATCACCTACTGGCCCCATCTTTTGCATCTCTTAAAAATATGGTCAAGTGAAGTGGAGAGGGGCAGCAGATGACAAAGTGGTTAAGGTCCTGGACTCCCACATGATGGAATGCAGTTCTACTTCCAGACCTGGCAGTTTGAAAGTCGTGTCGGGTGCTCATGTGTGTGTGTGTGTGTGCCCAAATCTCAAGAGGACAATGGAGGAGAGGGTATTGCTCCCTGGCCATCCCATTTGGGAGGTGATTTCTCACTTTCCCTCTTTCTGTCCCTCTTTGGTGAGTATATGTACTA